AAAGCATACACGCTTTCTTTCCCCCCCCCCCCCCCCCCTGGGCTATGAGTCAAACAAAGCTTGACGGGGTATATAGTCAAACGCCGCTGTCGCCAACCGACCCTGAGCTTTGAGTCCTTCGTTATTCCGGGAATGAAAACACTCCTTATGCGCCCATTTTCTTCTACTGACAAAGATTTCCCCCGAGTCCAGCTTTAAAAGGGGCACAGGACTCTATCAACATCACATTAACCACCGTCATATACCCAAATCGCTCCATCATGGCCGAATCCACGTATATTTCGGAGCAGCAAAACGCCTCAACGCCCACAACAACCAAACCGTGCCGAGAAGAAGACGGATTGATGGCAATCCCTTACTCAGAGACCGCTGAGTGCGAGCCGCCAGTTCCCATGGTGCCTTTAAAGAGTCCTCAGCGAACGCCGCGAGATTGTTCGGAAGAGTCGCCGCCAATCAGCCCGCCTTCTTCCTCGTCGTCTATATATGCTGGATCAGCCATTCCAACAATACTGGAAATGCCGCAGTCCGTCGAAGAGCATTCATGTGCTCTCCCGTCGTCCATGCTGCAACCAATGTCGGCTTCCATCTACGAAGTCACATGGGAGGACGTGTTCCCGGTGGAGGAAGTCATGGATGAAGTAACAGGATTGCCAATCTACATCGCACCGTGGATAATTCGAAGCGAATCGGATGAGGATGATAATAGAAGAATGGAAGACTGGACGCCACCCATCGTTTCGGCTTCAATGAAGCGCCAGCCCGCGGACAGTCAAACCGCCAAGAAGCCCGCGCATAAATGGAAAAAAGGCCGCGACGTGGAGCCGCTGACAATTCACCCAAAGAAGAAGCGCAACTTTTGGATGTCGTTCCGAAGAAGCAAGAAAGCGATTGCTGCAGCAGTCGCAGGCTCGGTGGCATCACTGGAGGGCAATGAAGGTTCTCAAAGGGGCCCCCAAGCCACCCCAGAGCCACAGCGGTCTGTCTCTCAGCTTGGCCGCAAGGGCACTGTTCGTGAGCATCGTGAGCCCGGTGCTGTCGATGCCATCGCCAGTCCAGCCGGAGAGCCCGATCCTGCACAGAGTCATCCAAAGTCTCTGGTCGAAGTCAGGCACCCTGTTGTATCAATTACTCAAGTCGACGTTCCGACGCCACCAACAACACCGAAGAACGAAGAACTGAATTCTGTTATGAGTGCGGAGATGGGTCACAAGATCAATATTGCCATACCGGAAGCGAAGTTACTGAATGACGAATTGAGAGCCCGATTCTGTTGTTAGATTATTCAACCGACATGATTACCTTTTCTTTTCTTTTTTTTTTTGATTTTTCCTGCTGAGGAGTTTTTGAACAGAATGACAAAGACAAATATGGCGGAGGGAAACCGGATGATACCCGACAAGGCGAAAGTATATGCTCTGAATTTGGCCAACAGATGAAGTGCTGGCACTTACAAACCGACAAGTCTTATTTTACTTTGTTACATTAATCTTCAGTCTTTAATAAAAGCACCATCTTTCCAATAATCGGTGGTTCTCACGTCTGCAACATTTTGTCAGCGAAACTTGTTTTCATGCTCACAACCGGCACACAGATAGCTAGTAGTTTAAGCCCAGTAGTTTCTCACCAACTACGTATATAGTCGGTCTCTGGCAAAACCTGTTAGCACATTGGCCCAGCATATACACACATAGTAGAATACTAACATTATGATTGTGCGATAACAAGGCATCTCGGTGTGGCCAAATAGGTTGAAATATGACAAAGAGCCATAATCGAGTGCAACCTCAGCCCCTGTTCAACTCAACCACGTCTCCAGCGACATCCACGTCCCCGCATGAGTGTCTCTCAGCCGTCAGCATATTTGCGAATCTCTCTCTCTTTTTGATGAAAACGGCCGCGTTCTGAGCCTCGGGCGCGCCTTGGGGTTTGTGTAACATCTCCCCCGCGAGGCAGCTATAGAGCCGGCGGGCGTCCGAATCGACGGAACTATTGCTTCTGGTTTTGGTCGGTGGGCGACGGCGACTTGCTCATCCGAATTGAAACAAAACATGCGTCTTCTGAATGCCCACACCCTCCTCCTAGAAACATTCAACGGCGCAGAGGAGAGGATCCCGCCCTACGCCATCTTGTCGCATACATGGGACGACATTGAGACTACATTGGACGATTTATGCACTACGTCAACGGAGCATCTACAAGACCTGCCAGAGTTTCAGAAAGTCAAAGAGAGCTGCATCCAAGCGGCGCTCGACGGCTATGCCTACGTATGGATCGACACGTGCTGCATCGACAAGAGCAGTAGCGCCGAGCTTTCCGAAGCAATCAATTCCATGTTCAAGTGGTACCAACAATCCTCAATATGCTACGTCTACCTGAAGGACTTTGAGTTGCCGGGCGGGCGAACCCTGCCAATCCAACGACACGCTCAAGTCACGATGCTGGTTGGGAACAGCGACTTCTGCTCGTCTCGCTGGTTTGATCGCGGCTGGACGCTCCAGGAACTCATTGCGCCGAGAAAGGTTGTCTTTTTCGACAAAAACTGGGTTGGATTCGGGTCCAGAGACGAGGCTCTCTTCAGCGCCATATGCGACCGCACGAGAATACTCCCGCAGGTCTTCACCAGCCGGCACTGCATGTGCTCGTCTGCTTCGAGTGCCGGCGCGTTGCCGTTTATTCGAAACGGCAAATGCAAGGGATGCAACGCGAGGGACAACCTACCAGATATTCTCGGCTCTCTAAACGCAGCCATCATCATGAACTGGGCGGCACGCCGCTCCACCACCCGAGTCGAGGACATGTCCTATTCCCTCATCGGCCTGTTCAACGTAAACTTACCGCTGCTGTACGGCGAAGGGAACAAGGCATTCATGAGACTGCAGTCGGCCATCCTGGCACGGAACAGCGACCATTCCCTTCTTCTATGGAGGGAAAAGGCAGAAAGAGGGGAACAGTCGTCTAGGCGTCCGGGTTGTCTGTCCAGCTCTCCCAAGGGATTCGAGGTTGTGCCGCCCATCGTGGCTCAGAGAGAGTATTATGATTTCGACAACGAAATGGTTCCCCGGCTGGCCGTCGGCCTTGTTGAAAGCATGGAGCCAGTAGAATTGACAGAGACGTTGCTCAAGTTGACACTCTGGCTGTGTCCTTGCAAAGTCGGACATCCGTTTGGCGACGGCTCGGATGAGGCGCCTGGTATGGAAGAAGGCTGGGCGCTGGGCGTATTGAATTGCCACAGTGCTTCGGACTATGTTGCCCGTCCGGCCATTCTCATGTCACATATGGGTGCGGACCTGTACCGCCGAGTTTCTCACGATTCAGTCTTTCTCGTGAATCCACGGAGGATGCAGGAGAGCCCCGCTGCCACAACTCTCTCGGTGTATCATGCCAACCCAAATATCCAAGACCCTATGTCGAACTGGACCGTCATTGGGCAAGTTTTTGTGGGCGAGTGCGCCCAGAAAGCCATCAGGCTTCTTGTACGTCCTAGCGGACCGAGCCTGCTGCGCTCAGCGCCTCAAGGATTCGACCAGACGACGTCGTCAATTGATGCCGTTTGTTGTGTAATTAATCAACCTCTCCAGGGCAATGCCGTCCTGACTGTGAACACCATGGGAGGATATCCAAGGATATACTGTCACGACTCTTGTCCGCCCACAGTGCCCATGCTTCGGAGTTTTGTCAAGTACAACTGCAAACGGGGCTTCGGACTTTTGGCCGGTATCCACCTATTCGAGATAGGAATGTCAGGTGTAACGTCAAAGATGGAGATATATATTATCTGGGGCCTGTATCACGACGAAACCAGACGGCAAGGCCAAGCTCGGCAAAATACCACCGCAAGGCGCTGGTGTCGTATTTTTAGAGCGTCCGACTTTACCGAAGATGCCGACGTTCCTATTCACGAGGCTGGAAAAGATGATTTGCAGTATCAAAAACAGCTGCACGCGTGGTTGGTGAAAAGGGGCTCTGACCCGTGCTGGCAAATCACTACTCGAAAAGGCTCTCGGAAGCAAGTGATAGCAGATCTGAGTAGTGACAATGAGCGCGGAGGAGACAGAATCTTAGACCTGTTTCCACATTCCGCCGTGCGCGTGGGTTTAAGCGCTCGCATAAAGACGACACAGGGCTTCGGGGTTACATCGAATGATATTGAGATGACCTTTTTAACCCCCGATTGTAGGGGATGGCGGAATGAGTTGTTTGACGGAAGCCAGCGAGACCAGGAATCAGCATAGCTTCTGTGGCGCTTAAGTCTCTGGGAGTCTGGGAGTCTGGGTTCTCGCTTGGTCCAACGAGCATCAGATAGTCGGGTTGATATTTAATATGCCTCAGGGAAGTACTCGGTAGAGCTGTGGGATGGGGCAGATTCGGAAACGCTTAGATGTTCAAGGGCATCAAAGGCGCCGTAACAAAGCATTGAAACATTGTAGTCAACGCGTGCTCGGTGTGAATAGCTGTGTTGGCAACAGAATAGACGAAACAGATGCGGCCCGAGCCTATCGATCAATAGCGTCCGGTAGGCAGTTTCAGAGATTATGACAGGTCGTCAAAGTCGGGTATCCCCCATGCTCAATTTTCGGTTGATGTTTGCTTGCTCCCAAAAAACAATGCATTATCCAAGTAGGATTCGGTCCATCAAAACCACTCTTCTAGCGGTTCGTCAACATGGAATATTTGACGAACTAGGAGCAATCGCGTCAACTCGTCAAGGTAGGAGGGCCAAGGCAGCATGGCTTTGCTAACAAATTTGTCTCGTCAGCTCGTCCAATATTTCATCCCTGTTCACTCGGTTTGGCTGCCAAGGATGCGACCCACGTGATAAACCTGGCGTTCGTCTCACCATCGAAGGGGAAATTACAATCTGACAAAAGCCGCAAAACGCCTGCCGCAGCCGTCGCCGTTTCAAGAAAAAAAAAAGAAAAAAAGAAAAGAAAAGACACATCTTCAAATAGTAGGCCCCGAAAAAAAAAAAGGTCGGGAGAGATTCTGTGGTCCGCATTGTCGGCTGCGGCCGCCGTCGACGCCGTCAATCAATCTACAAGTCCAAACCTAGACGCGCCCGCGAAGCGAGCAAGCAAAGACAAGAGCACGGCTCTCCGGCAGAGTGCGGAGCTCGAGTCTCTAGGTTCTTGTTGTCACGATAATTCTCTCTGTGGCCAGAGAGGTAGCAAAGATGGACATGTCTACCCAACGAGACGCAGCAAACGACAACTCACGAGGGCCAGCGCAGCCTTCAAACACCAACACATCCAGCTCGCCCGATTCGGATTCCTCGGGGGCCAACCGGCCGACGACTCCTACAAAACCAAAGGGTGTCGCATGGGCCGAGGACCAATTGACGTTTTATCGCGAAGGAACTCCACCTCCCTTGGAGCATGACGGCTACTACCAACAGGACAGCTTGAGCACCGGCCCGCATGCTGCTGGCGCGTACTCGTACGATTACAGCTACGACCATGTGGCTCCTCCTGCCCCGATCCCACAAGCAACAATATGCGGTCTAGGGAAGCGATTGTTTTGCATGGTTGTCGCCGCAGCCATTCTAGGCGTCGCAATCGCAGTTGGCGTGGGTGTGGGCGTGGGCGTGGGTATGAGACATGATTCAACATCAGACGAACATGGCTCCTCCACAAAATCTCCATCTGCTATTACTACGTATGTCTCAAGAGCGCGCCCCCCCTCTCTTCGTGAGACGAACTGTTTCGCAGAATATCCCACTGCGTCTAATGGACGAAAAGTAACAATCATGCTACGTAGTCCATCGGTTCATACCGTCACGCCAACCTCGATAGCGGCCAACCCCACGAAGACGGCTCTGCTGGCGTGTCCCGCAGCGAACAATACCAAGTACGAAGTCCTGTCGGTTGAAAAGACCTTTTTACGGGTATGCGGAGTCGACTATACCGGCAGCGAAGGGGCGGCCGACTTGGGTGTTGTGTGGGCGTCCAGCATGCAGGACTGCATGAATAGCTGCGCTGGATATCCGGACTGCACCGGATGCAGCTGGGGCGTAATCCCTGGGGACGCTGGCAGCGATCACAGATGCTGGTTGAAGAGCGACTTGAAGACGCCTACTGCTGTTCGGAGCGGCTGGGACTTTGCGATTTTGCAATGACGGTCCATGCACAGAGCATTGAGCGTATTTATGTTTGGCTGTACTATACTTATTTACGACGACATCTACGGCACGATGGAACCATGATATCGAGAAGAACATGTAATGCATAATATGTCCCAATCAATATGTACCAAAAGACAATCTAAACTAGTGTGTTTCAATACACATGAATTATTTCAACCAGCATGTACCAGGGACCATGTTAACCAGGACACTTTAACGCATAATATCTGAGAAACATTGGGAGATGACGGTATAGGGTAGCCTGGAGGTTCTGTCCCTTTTACCTATAGGCTTTGGCATAGATATTGTAGATATCTGGGTAAATTACATACCTAGAGCTAGGAAAACTACATAGATACATGCATCACGTATTGCGATGCGGTGTTTCCTTTAGGATGTCACGGACCTCTGGTTTAGGTACGACCAGGCACATGGTGTTTGTGCAATTGGGTCCTACCTGATGCATGCTAATACAAATATTAAAATAGGTTTAAGAAAAAAAAACAATAGATGAATGCATAAAATATTTCAGCCCAACATGTACCAGAGAGCGCATCCAAGTCAGGTTAATGGGTCGTGTAAGTTATTCAGATGCAACACTAAAACCATGTCAGCTGATTGAGTCCGCAACGAAATCACCCACAACTCACCAACAATGAACTTGGTTTCCAGAAATTGGCCCTGCGATCCGATTGGATGACAAACCAATACTATATTTTGGTTCCCAACAGCCAACTCCGTTCACGGACGCTACTAGTCTGACCCCCCCACAAAACGACCCAAGCGATATGACTTGGCGTTGACCAATTTGTAATGCGCAAAGGCTTCTCAACTCGAACGCTCTCAACGCCAAGCTTCCGCCACCAGCAACATTGCGTGACCTACGTGGGATACAAAAAAAGAAACGAACCTTTGCACAATGGGGGCGTACACCCCAGATGCAAGAGTCAGTGTCTTTGACTCTCCTTCAGAAGAACTACTCCGCCTCCTAGCCTCACAGCTGCCTGCCTCGCTCACGCTTCTTCGACGGCTTCAATTTGCCCTGTACCGGAACTTCACAAGGCCTGATGCGCGTATTATAGTCTCGTCTGATACCGGCCGGGTTGGAGATGGACCAACCAAGCCAAAATACTTTGCTGTCGCATATGCCGAATTCTCCACGGGCCCGGATACCCAAATGGTCATGTATTCGTCCATGGAACAGGGTAGCCCGACTGATGAGGAACTACCGGTCCACGAGGGACACGTCATGAATCTTGTCCGGACACTGGTGAGGCTGCGCAAAGAATATGGCGGCAAGCTGGTCTACGGCAACAGTCTGCTCGTAGGCAGTCTGCATTCAGACGTGCGCAACATCTTGGCCAAGACGGGGAGAGTGACGACACGGCCGTCCGGAGATTACGACAAGTGGCTGTTTAGGATGGAGCATTTGCCCGAGCCGAAAGAGACTCTGCATCTGGCGGGAATGCGTTGGGGGACGGCCTCTCTGGAGGACTGCAGGCTTGTTGCTTCGAGAACGGACATTCCCCGGCCGCCGTGAGTCTTTTCTTGCCGACAACATCATTTACCAACAAAAAAAAAAAAAAAAAAAAAAAAAAAAAAAAAAAAAACCAACGCAACCATATTGATGGTAAATTCTGCTCATGTAGGGAGTCATTGGTGCAGCTTCCGGGCTTAATGTTGAAGCTGCAAGATGGAACGCCGATAGCTTGGGCCTTTATCGGTATAATTTTGCGTCTCTTCCTCCAGGGCAGCCCGGGACCGTCACTGACACTGAAACAGGACTGGATGGCTCGTTGATAAGTCTGCATTGCGAGGTGAGTCGGCACTGTCGCCCGATGGCGGGTGAATCATGGCCACGACGCTGGTTCTCACGTCACACCATAGGACGGCTATCGCAGACGAGGCATCGCCAAATTGCTGGCAGCCAAGCTCCTCCGCCAGACAGGAGTTGAATTCTCCAATGCCAAGTATGCCGGCCACGAATGGTCTTGTGCCGACGTGACGCGGGACAACGAGGGCAGTCGAGCAATGTGCACGAGTTTAAACGCCACGCCACGCTGGTCTGTATCATGGTGAGTGCAGTGCTGCATACGTAACTCCTGGAAGTCCGTGACTCGAGCTTTTTTTTCTAAAATTTTTCTCAAATTTTTCCAGGGTGACGCTAGACTTGTCAGAGAGTTTGTAGTAGTTGAACCCTCGAAATTTTCAACTTGAGTCGTGTAAAGTGGTGCATCAAGGCATCAAGAGTTATGCCACGTTGTTTAGGGAAAAAAAAAAACCTAGTTTGAAAAACATGTTATATGACCAATTCAAAAACGACTCGAATTATAACAAAACCCTGAAACACATAAGCGTCAATTTGAAACACATACCTTCCGTGGACTATCATCCACAGCCAAGCTCCGTGTCACCCGGATGATGCTCCTTGGCAAATGTAACTTGCTTGGGCTGGTTATCCCCCGCAGCAAATCGGCAGTTTCGTCGATTCAACTCGGCGAGCAAACAAAGTTGGGTTTCCTTGTTAACCTCTTCTCGTGTGTCCTGCGTGTCTGATGCCATCACAAAAGCAGCACATGCATGACTTGCAAGAGAAGAAAACGACATTGAAATGCATAATGGCATCATCTCATGCACCTGCCATTCAGCCTCTCTGGGGAATGAAACCACAATGTCGCAATCCCGCTCTCTCCGGGAATTAGCCCCGTTCGCATAGGTCCACAAGCCAAGTCGAGGCGTGCATTTAGCAAGATGCCGTGATTTCCTGTCCGTCTTGTTAGTCGGCTCAAAGGCTGATCTGCCCATGGGATATGGGACATGGGACATCCCAGGACGCCTGACGACCAAGTTCGTGGGCCTGCCCTGCTGAAGGAAGAAGAAGAAGAAGAAGAAGGAGGCGAAAGGGGGGTGTGTGTGTCCTCAGGATGCCTGTCCATGTACGTACATGAGAAAAATATAAGAGGAATGGGCAGACCCTTGCCGCTCGGCATTTTACGGCGGCTCAGCATCCAGAATGATGCAGTATGGGGTAAGTTACACTCCAACCCCTGTTTAATGAATCACCCGTGACCTACTAAGGTTGATGGAGCAAGGGGCCCCGGCTCTTTTAGCCATTTAGGTATTTGAAGTGAGTTATAGTCAAGTGCTGTATACGGAGTACTGTATTTTGATAAAAGATATAAATTTTTACTTTTTTACTTTTTTACTTTTTTTTAAAAAAAAAAAAAAACGAGGCACGTACTCCCATTTACTCCCCCTATTTTCCCTTTATAACCTACTTAGGTAGACCCAGATTGACTGACTCTTTATTAGTTGTATACCCCCTGTAAAGTCACGGGGTCAATCAAACAGGGGTTAGAGTGTACACACAACGATGAACACGCACTCGTCGGAGCCGAATGCCGAATTCGTCGCGTATTCCCGCCAACCCAGGGGGGAGGGAAATAGCACTTGGCCCGTTATGAGTTATTATATGTACGCCCAGACCTTAAAAGACACAGATCTTATTCATGCGACGCCCCGCACTGACGCGTTATACGAGAGAGCCGCGGCTTTGAAACCCGGAATGGGGTCGGCGGACTCGGCAATTGTGGGAGGAGAAGAGGGCGGAGAGGTTCGGGACGGACAAAGTAAATGAGGCCCTGGTTTCACCTATTTCCAGTAAGGGGAGGGGTTTTTTGACAGCCACAAAAGGAAAAAAAGGGGGTTTCGCCATGCCAACTCTCGAAACTCCCGAAGCTTGTGTCAGCCACGTGCAGCGGACGGCAGTTGATCCTCGAGGAAGGGTCGCATTCATGGTGGAATAAAGGCCCGAAAATCCGGAGACGGGCTGACAACCGGAACTCGAATCAAAGACTCAGTACCGGCTCGTGGGTGAGGAGGAATATAAGGATAGACATGGGCGCATCGCGAGGTTACATGGTAGGCATGTCACTGCTACCCAGAATCGAGAGTAATGACTTGGAAGTAACGCCGTCGGAGAATTTCCTATTCTACGGGTAGGAGACGGCAAAATAGAAGGGGGTAAAAATAAATCAAAAGGAAAAAAGCCCAGAGGTTGCCGTTACATGGCGTCATCTCATCAAGGGCTCCGAAAGAAATTAGCAGGCCCGAGACTCAACGCTGAGCTTCAATCAGCCTTCATTTACAGACTTCTTCTCACCTACATTCTTATCGTCCCAAATAGAGCCGCCGTCGTCCATGCCGCGCCTCTTTAAATTTCAATGCTCCAACGAGCACCCAAGGGCCCGGAATGCCATCTCGCCAGCAACCATGGACACAACAACAGCCCATGCGGTTTTTCTCTCCACGTGGAAATGCAAAGTCACAAGCAACAGATCCGCCTACGACCCTTTTGTGCGAGCATGCAATCATGAAATCGCCCGTCTATTAATGGGGCCGACGGCTTTATAGCAAGCGGTTCCCGTCTTTCTCGTCGGGGCGGAAAGCGTTGCCGCGGTACGGCCATAAGCTGGAAATCACCTCACCGCGTGGCCGCCTCCCGGCTTCAAGTTGGACATGGTTCGACTATCAGGCTGCTGCGGCTGCAGCATACATGATTAGCGCGTTGACGGCCATCGTCGTCGGACAAAGTGGTTCGTCTTTTTGATGCCAGTGGCCCGACGGCTCCGACGTATTCGAGGCCGACATGACTCCATCTCGGGCCTGCGCATGAATATGCCCCATATGTACTAGCACCCATCGCCTGGGTGGCTCTGTTATCGATTTAAACTTGATAATAGACTTGGATGACTTTCTCGTCTCTCGCCAATTAGCCGGAGACCACGGTGTGTGCCTGCGCCTGCGCCTGCAGCGGTCCCGAACCCGTCGCCAAGCTGGTTCAGCATGCCGGTCCTAGTTCTCTCCAATTTTAATATCCGTCCGTGTGCCACAGGGCTCGGTGAACTACCCCGTGTTTCATCGCCCGAGTTGAGATGCGGGTGTGTTCGGTCAAGATCGCTCACATCCTCCCGCTCGGTGGGCAGTCGACAAATGACACATCAAAGAATCCGACTTGACACCCAATCCGTCGACAACGACGGCTGAACCGCGGTCGGCCGTCGACGTGGCATCACTGCTTGAGCCCGGTGTTGCATATTTGCAAGTCATTGGTTGGCAATCTCTTGTGTCTAGTTATCATGACGTGGCACATGACACATGCATTGAAATTTGGACGGCTGGAGATATATGAACAATGATTTCATTCCATCAACCCTGAGAGCTTCTAATTCTAAGCGAACAACCCCAGCCCATGCATGTTACAGGTACAGGTCCTTGAGATATGCCTTTGCCTCATCCGCGCTTCCACCCACAAAGCCAAGATACATGTCTGGTCTGACGACAACCACAAACGGATCGTCCTTGGATGCCCAGTCTGCCGTGTAAGTCCTGCTTGAGTCGCCGCCCGCAGCTGCCGATTCCGAGGCAGGGCGGATCGTGTAGTGGGTTACAACGTCGCTGAAACCAAAGTCGGGGGCTGGGGTTCCGCCAATGTGCAAGACCAAATACTTGCCGTACGTTGTTTCTGTATACAGCCACGTTTCAGCCCCATCCGTCTTCTTCAGGACCATATCGGGGCATCTGTTTCCTGCCGTCCAAATGCCGTGCTCTGAAGCTCGCACCAGAGGAGAGCCAGACTCGCGATACGTTACTCCCATGCCTTGTTCGCGCGCACCCCATGTTAGCACGTCTTCTTCTGCTTCGTCGTGCATGTCTAATGCGTGGTTGACTCGCTTACCGGTAATGTACCCTGCATTCTTCTCAATAGTACCGACATACTGCTTGGCGGTGTGGACGGTGTCCCTGACCAGAGCTGCTGCAACGTCGATGACGTCTCGCGCCGTGCTTCTCCTCTCGGTATCGTAGCTGCGAATGATTTTCTGTGCGGCCCCGGGCTGGAGGTTTCGGTTCTTTACGACCTGTGCCAGGCGCCAAGCAAGATTGAAGGCATCCGACATGCCCGTGTTGAGCCCCTGGCCACCGTTCACCGAGTGAACATGGGCCGCATCACCGGCTAGAATGATACGACCGGACCCATCTTTGGAGACAAAGGTTGATGCAATTCTTTCCTTGACTGCATTGGCCATTAGTATCCCGCCATCTCCACGACTCGGGTGCACCCGGATAAACACTTGGCAGGTGGATAAACATTCAAAACGTACCATCGAAAGTGCTGTACCACTCAGTCTTCTTGAACTCGACCCTATAGGGAGCCATGTGCTCTTTGATCGACTCTTCAGCTCGTGCCTGCGTGACCTCTCCGTCAAGAAGGACGTAAAATCGGCACATTCCGCGCTCTCTGGGGATCCACGAGACGCGAGACTGTCCATTCAGCTGAAAGGTGATAATCTCTGGGCAGAGCGGAAAGTCGGTGTCAATAAAGGTATCCAACACCGCCCACAGCATTTCAGGCTTTGTTCCAGTAAAGGTAGCTCCGATTTCCCGGCGAACCATGGACTTTGCGCCGTCAGAGCCCACGGCGTACTTGCTGCGAATCCTGAAACCAGAATCCGTCACGGTCTCAACGCCCTCGTCATCTTCGGTCACGGACACGACCTGTTCCCCGAAGCGCACGAGGCCCTCACCCAGCTTGCTGGCAATGACCTTTTCCACAACTGGCTGCCCAACCATGAGAAAATTCTTGTGCAGCGTGTTCTCAAGGCCAACCCACCATGTGTTTTGGCGTGACTTGAACTCTCCATTTGCAAAAGTAGAGCTGGCTGCAGGCACAGCGAATAAGCAAGGGGCTCGGATGCAGGTGAGTTTAGGGGCGGGAAGAAGCTACTCACTGTTGCATTTCAGACCGACAGGTAGGAGCTCATCCAGGAGTTTCGCCACTTCCAGGTACTGCTGAGTTCGCGCATTGAGTGCATCAGCTCTACCCAGCTCAAGAGTGCTGGGCTTTCCATCTGCGGAACAAGATTAGAGACATATGCAAGAGGCTTGTCATGTCAGGGAAACACACCTATGATGCAGACAGAAACGCCAAGGCGGTGGAGCAAAAGGCCAGTGAAGAGACCAGTTGGCCCGCCTATGATATATTAGTCTTCATCTTGCTTATGGTTTGCCGGACAGAGTAAACATATTGAAAGAGAGGGTTGGACAACATACCGCCAATTATGCACACATCTGTGGTTGCAACTTTAGTTGTCATGTCTCCGTTGGCGTGCATGTTTGTCTTTGTCTTTTGTCTTTGTCCTTTGTCTTGTCTTCTTTTTTTCTTTGCCTCTTTAGTTTGTCAAAATGGAAAGTCAGCAAGTCTTAAAGGAAGTTCTGGCTGAGTAGGAGCAGATGTGTACATTTACATTAATCTACTAAGGTGAGCGGCGGTCCCTGACTAATGCAATCATATGATATGATCCCGACAGAGTCTATGCTTAAAATTTAACGTCCGCGGACACCTCCATTCATAAGTCGCCCAGTGAAACACGGCGCAGAACTGGGTAAGCAAGTCCGGCTTCATCCCTGTGGCCATAGTATATGAATGCATAGGAAAAGATTCATGCTGCTTCGTACTGACCTTCGGCGGGTCCGGCTTCTGAGACTGGTCATTGTTCGGCAGGCTGTACAGCAACTAGTCAAGAGTTAACTACCTAGGTAGGTAGTGGCCGCATTGTCAGACAACCAGGACGAGGCAAGCCTCCGTCTTCTATCCACATAAGGTCGGTGCCAGGTGGAATCAGGAAACCCCACAATGCGCGCGGTTGTGATAAATCGGCACTCCGGGTTGCCATCCCACTCGGTGATCTCGCCAAGCATTGAGTAACCTAGTACACTCTATATTCAAGTTTCCTGGGAATAAGGTTGCGTAACATTCAGGCTTCAACAGTGGGCCCCCGGGCACGAGTAAGTCGATGGGACCAGATGAAAGCCGCCGTCAAAGCCACGGCAGTTTCATCTTTCTCGTCGCGCGCCATGCTGCTTGGTGGCATGTTATTGCAGAAGTATGCCCAGCGCACAGGAAACGCGAAGCCCTGCGCAGAGATGCTGTGATGTCGGCTCATAGCCAGCGGGAAAATCCCACACCCGCCGAAATGAGAAAGCCGGCGCTTCGTCGTCCATAGATGGTCGAACCATCGGGTGTCACGGACCCTGGAGGACCGATGGTACACAACCAGCGCCTGTCATCCGTTCTAGCGCTCGCTTTCGCCAAACCGAGCTGCCAGATGGAAGGATTTTCGAATCCTTCATGCCAGACACAGCCGTCGTTGGCACAAAGACGGAATCATACACCGTGCCAGGGCTACTTTGAGCCAGCCGATTCGGTCCACCACCCTAAAAAGGCAAGTCCTCAAGCGTAGCACAAACTAGCTATGCAGTTGGACCTTTACCGAAGTAATAGAAACTCCCCAAAGGCTCGATCACGCTTTCTTGGCGCCTCTTCCTAGATAGAAGTTGCCAGTTAGGGCTGAGTGCTGGATTTTCGTGTCGTTCGTGTCATTCGTGTGGTTGATGCGGTTCATGCGGTCTCATCCTATGTGTCCTTCCCGCGATGGAACTGATTATCAAGCAGTCCACGAATGCCTCCAAGTCGATTTCGTGGATATCCACATAGTGACACAATGGACCTGGCCACTCTATCCTGATCATTGACCCATAAGCTCTTCATGCCGTCAAGTAATCCATCGTGAGTAGTGTGATGGAGGGCCGCTCTGGCGCGTCATTTACATGCTGGTCCCTGTTTCGGCGCCCCTCTGCGGAGAGTAAGTTGGGGTTCGCCCTTCATTTCTGTGTGGAACTGTTAGAAACTGGTAAAGCTGGTACCGGCAATGATTAGAGCTCGAATCGGCATTGAGCCTATAGCACCTGCAGCGCTGTTCGTAGCCATCGCCGCGGATCGCGTTGCTGTTAGACGTAACCCCTGCACCCTTGCCCAAATATGTATGATCAAGGCAAATACTCCGTGCTCTTCACCCCTATTTGCTTTTGGTGCACAAGACCCGTAAATTTGCAAGTCAGTCGAGAGCTCTCTGTAGCTGACGAAACACTGCTGATGGCATCCCAGTATCCCATACCCCATGTGGTGGATGCAGTCAAGAGGCATCGGACGACGGGAGGTCAATATGCGATCCTTCGAACACATAAACGGCGCTCATCCTGCACTCAATCCTGCATCTCAACCTCTTCAATTCATCCTTCAACAACATCATCCCAAGAAGTCCTATAATCACTATCCATCTACTCCTTCATTCTCTTATACCATGCCCAGTGCCGTCTCCTCAGCGCATGAAGCCGCCTCTGCGGAGGCTAAGGAAACAAAGAGTCCTCGAAGCCTCAACATTGACGACTTCCCACACTTGGTAGATGCATCGGCTCTCGACACCGCATCAAGAATCCTGGGTGTAATCGACCGATATCGTTTGCAAAAGTCAAAGGATGATCCCATTGGAGCAGGCGAAGGCGGTCTCAAGTTTCTGGCTGTCATTTACAGCCATGTCAAAGCCGGCAAGGCTGTCCCAATGTGCCTTCCAGCCTTCCCCTTCAAGTCTCCAAACAGATCAGCAAAGGTTCTCGGCAAGGATCCCGACAGGGCAGAAGAACTTGCTTTAAGCCACCTTAACGGACTATGCCAAGCCATTACAGACATATACCCCCCTGGAGCTAAGCTCACCATCATCTCGGACGGACTTGTATACAATGGTGAGTTCTATCTTGCGGCCGAGCTTTGCACTTGTATTTTTTGTCTCGAGGCTGATCAATGTAGATCTGCTTGGTGTCCCCGATAAGGATGTCTGGTCATATGGTGAGAACCTTAGGCTGCTGGCCAAGGCCAAGGGCTTCACCCAGATTGCGTTCTGTCGACTGCGAGATCTTGTGCCCATCTCTCTGCCAGATGAGTTGGATGAGATGACCTATGTAGCAAACGCATCGAATTTCCGCCGATCCCTCCTCAATACTTTCGGCAACCCAAATTGGGAATGGAAGGAAGTGTGTCAAATTGAAGATGTATGCCTTACATACAGAGGCTACATCAAGTTCCTGGAAACAGACTTGGCAGAAGTTTACCCGCTTCAAGATGATCGAAGCAAGTCTAGGTATAAGCGCGGAATCGAGTACATCGCAAAACAAATGATGTATCGCGGAGATGTGAGTTTTCATCAGCCTCGGACCACTGGGGTTTCGGTGCACATTGACTGACAATTCGGAAAGGCATTTGCAAGCGCTGTTCGACAAAAGTACAAGGACCACGTACGTCTCTCAATTCATCCTTCCACCGGTGCCAACAAACTCTCGGTCAGCCTGCTTCCCACCACCACCATGTTCACAACACCATGGCACTGCACCGTTGGCTACAAGCTCGATGGCACGGTGGTCTCTGGTATGCGATCCGAGTTCGAAAAGGACGAAACATACGAGTTGATTTTCGAGAATGGACACCCTAGCTATTATCGTGAAAAGTCGGATCTCTTTTCTTGGGGTACCGAGAAGGGTGGCGTGACTTTCGAGCCGATATATCCAAGTGGTTGGTTGGTGAAGCCGGCCGCTGGGCCCGGTTCCTTGACCATAAATGACGTTGATGCGAAGAAGGTTCGATCATTGTCTGAGATTAACTCTCCCATCGTCATGCGTGGATTCTTCAAGAATCCCAAGAAAGAGGCTTTCATCGAAAAGTCCAAGGAGTTTGGTGAACCTCTGCCATGGAAATTTGGGCTTGTTCTTGAGGTCAAGGACCAAGGCACAGACACTCGCGGCCTGAACAACGTCCTTTCGTCCGAGTGGATGCCATTCCACTACGATGGACTTTTCAAGACCATCACACAGGTCAATGACAAGGGCGAAGAAGTTCGAGTCTCCGTTCCTCCCCAGTAAGTGGTTGAATTCTCCTCCCAGTGCAGCGGTTTACGATAAGTAGCTGACAATTCCATAGCTTCCAGTTTTTCGTTGGTGCTACCTCCTCTCCCAGAGACACTGGCTTCACATTGTTCTCCTCATCAACCATGTTCTTCAAGTATATGCCCAAGTGGCTGACGGTGGAGGACCTTGCGAAGAAGACGTGGTCAGTTTCGACATCCTCTTTCGACGCAACCAAGCTGAGCGGACTTCCGTTGGTTACTCCCCATCCTACGACGGGCAAGCCATGCCTCCGATATCACGAGCCATGGCCGCAAAGCAAGACGCAGTTTGAGGCTACCGAGGTCACCCTCGACGGCCATGATGAAGCCAGCAACCAGGCCATTTGTGAAGCCATTGACGCCACGCTTCACGACAGGCGAGTTGCATACTACCACGTTTGGGAGAAGGGTGACCTGGTTGTGAACGACAACATCTTGACGATGCACACGCGAAGCGACTTCACCGCTGGAAGCGATCGGGAGCTTTGGCGAATCCACTTTGACTAGAAGCGTTAAGAACCTCGAGAAGTCGTCAATATGTTCGCCAAGTGTTAGCGCGTCTTCATTTGCTTCGGGTTTGATCTGTACTTAGAAAGTCTACTTATGCTGCGGTGCATTTGTTTCCTTTGGAGTAAGGTCATGAAAAGAGTTCAATTGAACTATAGTTATAAGTAAAGAGTCCTGCGTTCTAACCTGTTGGGCATATCATGCTCGTGAATTGTGGACAGTGTCGTGACACAGTATCAACCTCTGAACCCACACAGTATCATACGTATCTACTAGACTACTACTAGGTACCTGGTCTCCATCGTGAAACACTGCAAACTTACTTGCCCAGATTCACGACAGCGTTGCTTTGCTAGTTTTATCTCGTAGCTTTCACTAATTGACTGCAAACACATCTGCGCAAGGTTCCGGGGCCTAGTCCAAGAAATGGACATGATGTACCTCTCGCTTTGACGACTTTTGCGCACTACGGGGCATAGCTGAGCAGTCCAAGGCACAAATCATCATGTCGACATTTGACGGAATTGTGGCCGAATTTCCAGAAATACGAAGTAAGTTTTCTGGCATATGGCCTGTTTTCATCATGATTTTAACATTTTACCAGTCGACTTCTTCAGACGACAGCCAGATCAGCTTCCAGCCCTGGCATGTTTCCTAAGTCACGTCCATAGCGACCACCTAGCCGGACTGGAAACATTGCGCTCTCCTTTGTCAGTAGGAAATTTCCCTTACAAGCCTATTCTTCACCATTTTAACATTTAAAGTGTATATTGTTCTCAAGCAACGCGAGAAATTTTGCTGCGACTTGAAAGGTACACATGCAGAATCAATCATGTCTGCGGCATATTGGAGGCAAGACAGCAAACATACAAGCACCTACGGAAAGTCCTAGTATGAATCTCGTCGTCTTATTCATCCCCACTCATCCTTCTGATTAATTCTTTTCTTTTTTTCATAACAGAAGTCACTTCCTCTCGAAGCACCAACGGTGATAGAGCTGCGCCATGGGCTTAACATCCAGGTCACATTGTTTGATGCAAACCACTGCCCAGGCTCAACCATGTTCTGTACGTAGCAACCGCCATCCCCATCTGACGTTTGCTTATATAAGAGGAAAGTGATTGAAGGCCAAGGCAAAGCCATCCTCTACACGGGTGACATTCGTGCAGAACCGTGGTTTGTCAATGCACTTGTCCGGAATCCATGCATCCTGGAGTATACATGCGGCTTGAAGGCCCTCGACAAAATATACCTCGACACTTCATTCCTCGCAGATATCCCATTCCAAACAAAATCTGAAGGCATAGCTGATCTTCTGGCAAAAGTCCAAAGGTACCCGGAAGACACCGTCTTCCACCTCCAAGCATGGACCTTTGGCTATGAGGATGTGTGGATTGCTCTATCTAAAGCATTAAACTCTCGTGTGTGTGCAATCCCAATTTCCCACATCAAAGTCTTTCTGACTATTCCAAAGATTCATGTCGACGACTACAAGCTGCGAATATTTAATTCCCTCAAGAGTCGCTCCTCTGATCAACCCTTTTCGCCAGAATTTCACCTCGCAGCAGGTGCTGCGGTTTTGACAGGGCACATGTGCGGAAATACCCAGCATCTAGGTTGCCTCACCTCCGATACCAGTGTCCGAATACATAGCTGTGAGAAGGCGAATATGTGTTCTATCGCCAAAGACCCCTCAGTCGTTTCGATTCGACCAGTAGTCTGTCGACTCCCAGGGGGTGAGAGCATGATGGAGAAGGGTGTTGGAGGTGGGGGAACCGACTTCTCCAGGGAAGCTGAATTGGGCTGCATTACTCACGAAGACGTTTATGCATTATTAGAGTCGTAAGTGGTTCCACTTGTTCAACTCTAACTCGTGCGGCTAAATTGTCCAGATTGCCAGCTTGGGAAAAAGTCGATGGTGAAACACAGAAAGACATAAAGGCTCTTTTGGCAAGCATGTCTTCAAGCGGCCGAGACCTGGCGTTGAACGTGTCCATTGAACAATTTGGCCAAAATCTCTCTGCAGACATGAGCTCTCTGATACAGTCCCTCGTCAACAGATTACGCAGCAAGACGGCCGTACCGAAAACGCCTGTTGACGAACAACCTGATATTCTCCCAAGGGTCATCCTGTTTCCCTTTGCGAGGCACTCCCCGTATAGAGAGCTGTGTGAGCTAGTCAAGGTATTCGGCCCAAAGGATATTTGGCCATGTACGGTAGACAAGCGATGGATAGAGAAAAGTAAGTCCAGGACCGCAATTTTCGCAGGTTTGCAGACTTTACTAACACGCACAGCAATAACTGTGGAGTCTCTATTTGGGAAATACTGTTCGGAGCAGATATTCGAACACGACAAGCAAATGGCGCCGTTGATTGCTCAGGAACACGAGAAAAGATCTCGTGAAGTAAGGACACCAACGGTTGATAGCCAGTGCGAAACCAGTTTCGAAGTCACTCCCCAAAGCAGACCTATACAGGAACAGGAAGTCCTAACCCGATTACAACTGCCAAACGCCTCAGCAGAAAACGTGCAGGCACAAACTTCCCATCCGACACATGCTTCATCATCTAAGGAGCCTAGTTCAGTGAGTGCCATACATTCAGACCTTCATTCGAAGACACGTACGGGCCAGGATCATGCTTCGCCATCCCAACGTGAGGCAGAGCGCGGCGATAAGTCCAACACAGCGGCACGAAAACGACCATATCAAGAGCTGGACGATACTAGTGAGGGCAGCCAAGACAGCGCCAGGACAGACTCACAAATGACAGACATGGCAATTGATTCCGTTTCATCCTTGGGCCGCTCTGCTCTACGACAGGATGCGTATGAGGCCATGTTAAACAATACAAGTGGAGGCGGTGCCTGGGTACCGATATCTCTTCTCTCCACTGATGCTAATCACCACGATGCAGAGGTAGAGCTATAAGCAATCCATACTCTAGGTTGGCGCACTGCAATTGCCTATATTGTATTTTCACTCATTAATAGGTGAATGGGCACACTTCTTAGAGTCACGACATGTGGAATAATGCCAAGTACATATATTAGACATGTATCCATGTCCATGCTTCCTCCTATATGCATCCATCAAAGCCCCTTCACAGGCCCAGTCCCAGTCCCAAATTATCACCGCCCAAGAAGAGGCCGCCTACTGAATTATCCCTCTCCTTCAACAGCTGCGCAACATCTACTCTACCGCCTGTGATATACCGTTCACTCACGCCCAAATTCACCCTCTGGCCCAACTCTTGCCTCAGCTGAGCCTTCAGCACACCCATCTCCGCCTTCGTCAAAGCCTTCGCCTCCTTCTCCTTCCTCCGTCGACCGCCGCCCCTGCTGCCTCCACCCCAACCACTTGACTCAGTAGCCTCAAATTCCTCAGAGTCATATTCCACACCGAGCTCCTCAGCCGCGTTACGGAGCCAAGTATCATTGCTGTGGGCCTTTTCCTTGGCCAAGATTGCATCTGTGATTCTCTTGGCTAGATCCAAGCGTGGTTTAAGACGAGAGGCAATCTTCCGGTCGATGGGTAGGCTCTCAATGATGTGCTGTTTCTTGCCAGATGAGGCTCGCTCAGCGTGGACTTTGCTGGCAAGTCTTCTGGTCGGGAGGACTTCATCCGGCGAGCAGAGGATGATGCTGACACCGCTGCGGTCGGCACGGGCTGTACGGCCCGAGCGATGGATGTAGGTGTCTGCTGCACGCGGGACGTGATAGTGAATAACTTGGTCCACTTCCTTGATATCGAGACCTCGGGCAGCAACATCGGTAGCTACGAGAATGGTGTTTCGTGCTGCGGTGAACTTTTCCAGGGACCGCAGGCGAGCCTTTTGGATCATTTGTGAGTGCAAGGGCAGTGCGTTTTGGTTGAGGTGTTGGAGGAGGGGTGTGATTCGGCGAACAGCAGAAATGGAATTAGTAAAAACCAGTGTTCGACGGCCGGGGTTCAATAAGAGCACCGTATATAGATAGAGATCCTGCAAAACCGGAGCATCAGTTTCTTGGTGACTTGCTCCCAGAACTTTGATGACAACCTCGGACTCACCTTTTCCATAGCTCCGCACTCAATCAGAACCTCGCGGAGATTATCCGCCATCTGGCTCACAGGATTGACATCGATGAACTTGGGCTCACCCCGGAACTTGAGACACTTCATCAGATACGCCATCTTTTCCTCGTCACTCCCAGCCTTCGCACTCTTGCCCTTGCCTGCGAGTTTTGTCTGCAAGTTCTTGTCAAAAGTAGCCGAAAAAACCAACGTCTGCCGCTCCCTGGTTTCATCTTCGGAATCAGAATTGTCAGAGTATCCGTGCCCTTCGGGGTTCTCCCTATCCAAGGCGCCAATAATATTTTCCGCCTCTTTGAACTGTCCGACTTTGAAAAGCCTATCCGCCTCATCGACAACCAAAAACTTGATTCGAGTGAACTGTTCTTGGAGCTTGGCATCACCGTCCAGCACCTCCCACAAGCGACCTGGGGTACCAATCACGATATCCGCCTCCTCCAACTGTCGTTGTTGCTTCTGAATGCTTAAGCCTCCGGTGACGACGCAAATATATGGAGATGCGGGAAGGCCGTCGCATACGGCTTTGATGTGCTCACCAATCTGCTTAGCTAATTCTCTTGTCGGACTAAGAATCACAGCCATAGGACCCTCGCCGTTCTTCTTCTTCGGCTGGTCACCACGGTCCCCTCCCTGGTCTTCTTGCTCCTCACGCATCTCCAGCCATTTTTCGACTATGGGAATACCAAAAGCCAGTGTTTTTCCGGAACCAGTCTGCGCTTTACCAATCACATCTCCACCGGCAATGATTTCCGGGATCGACTTTTCTTGAATGGCGGTCGGTTTCGAAAACCCCAACTTTGCAATCGCCGACACCAAGTTGGGCGACAAATTCAACGCCACCCAGTCGCCCATGTCGAGGTCGTCGTTTTCGGCTTCTTCGTCCGCCATTGCTGCCAGCGCCAGGAACTCGTTGCCGGTCCCATGTGAAGCGGACTTTTGTAGCTTTTTGTCGCCCATCTTCTGCTTTTTGGATTTCTTCTGCGTGCCGTTGTCGCTTTGTTGCCGCCCTTTTTGAAGCTTGCTGGTCTTGCCCTGTTTGACTGCTGAAATCTCTTCTTGAGAGTTCTCGCCCTCCAAGCCATCTTGAGAATCGCCAGCTTCGCCGGAATCGACAGGCTCGCGCGCCACAATGTCGTCGCCAAACCCTTCAAAAGACTCCTCTTCATCTTCGCTATCAGACACTACCGGCTGGCTGATCGTTTTATCGCTCTTCACGACGAACTGGACTGTTTCGCCATTCTTCACCACGTCCACACCAGAGAGGACCTGCAGTCCGCCGAAATCTTCACCCACTGATTCCCATGCAAGGGCCGAGGGATCAAGTACAGCACGTCCGGTTGGAGTAGGTTTCGTGCTATTTTTGGACTTTCCGCTCGTCTTCGCACGTGCTTTCGGTCGGTTGCCTGCCTTTTGCAAGTTCTTGTTCCGCTTCGGTTCAGGCCCAGTGGTCGGCGAAACCTTGCGCTTCTTAGGCTGTGGTACCATTGGGGGCTGTGATAAATTACGTCGGCCCCCCAAGCAGCTATTTCGCTGCTTGGTGTTCACGATCGGCCTAGAATAATTGCGAGTTGGATGCAATAGATTTGCAGCACAAACTTGGAACGGGACGCGTGTCTGAACTTGCTGCCATGGAGCCCACTCCCAAAAAAAAGCCTGGTTGACATTGAAGTGACGGTGGAATTTTTTTGCGCCAGCCCAGGCGTGAATCGGCACAAGCTGTGCCGACCTCCGACCCGCCGCCATCCGCCCAATAGCTGCAGCACCAGACCTCTGTCAAGATCAACCATGACATCAAAAGCGAGAAAGCAACCAGCTCTAAAATTTCACTTCACACACGTTTCATTCATATACATTTGGTCTCTCGACAGAAAGAAACATAACGATGTTACATCATGCTATCAGTACAGTGGTGCCTTAATCCCGGCCCTAATTTTGAAAGATGAGCCCCAAGTTTCCCCTTCCAAAACCGCTTAATTAAATATGGGTACAAGAGAAACGCAGTATAAGCTCCAGGTGTTTCACGTAGCTGCTTCATCCATCTGTCTTGTTGTCATATTTTATAACATCAATAAACCCCAACCCCTTTTTCTTTGCCCTGTCCTTCGTCTCATGCGATTATGTTATTCAATGTGCTCCACGAGCTCTTTTGGCGCCGCCTCCAGCCTCAGAATCTCCTCTAGGACGCTTGGTTCCAGGTTGGAAGTCCGCAGCGCCCGGGTTCATCCCTCCTCGACCTCCTCTATGACCTCCTCTGCCCCGTCCACCTTGACCGCCCGCACCTCCATCCTGGTTTCCACTAGCACCTCGCTGCCCAGGAGGAACATATGGGCCACCTCTTCCACGGCCACCCCCCCGTGGCATGGGAATGCCGGATCGAACAGGTTGGGCCTGTTGGCCTTGTTGCTGTTGCTTAGCCTGTGCAGGTTGTTGCGTCTGCGTCTCTGCTGCTGCTGCTGGCTCAGGCTTCATTGCAAAGGGGTTAGGCGCGTCAGACTTGGTCGCATCTGCCGGAACAACAAACGGATTATTAGTCGGTGCCGGCGAAGGAACAGCACCAGAAGCTGGCTTGGGTGCGGGGGCCGCTGTTTGTACAGGCTGCTGAGCGACTGCAGTAGCAGCAGCAGGCGTTGCGGCACCCGAAGCTGGAGTCATTGGCGCTTTTGCTCCCTTTGCTGGCGTTCCAGGTGCCGCCGTCGCGGGAGGCGGTTGTGCAGATTTCGCAAGTTCCCAAACTTCCACAACTGGCTTCTGTGGCGTCTCGTTTGCTGCAGTTTCCACGACACCCAACTTAGCCACGGCCGACTTCAGCTTGTTCTCGGCCATATTAATACGAAGAGTGGATTTCTTAGACTCCATCAGCTGAGCTTGCTCCCGAGCTGATGCAATCTTGGCTTCAAACTCGGACTTGATTCTAGTACTTTCTGTTTCCAGCTTCTTCTTTATGTTGGCAGCAATAATGTTCTTAACAGTTGTGTTGGTGGATAGGAACTGCCGGATGCTGGCATCATCTAGCTGAGAAAGGTCTGGGGCACCGCTCGCGGCCACATTCGGTGTAGCGGGCGCTGCGGCAGGTTGTTGCTGCTCTTCGGATTTGGCTGGTGTTGCAGGCGGTTGGGAAGACACTACGGGCTTCTCGCCCGCATTTTCCGCCTGCCAAATCAGCTTCTCCTGTTGATAAAAAAGTCTGAGATCATCTTCCTTCTTCTTGAATTCCTCCTCCATCTTGGCCCGGCTATCCTTGAGTTTGTTGTTAAGAGTATCACGCATTCTATCGGATCGCTCCTTGATGGTTTGCTGGATTTTGTTCTCCGCCTCATTGGCTCTCTGTTCCAATTCGGCAGCCTTGGACTCTGCAGCAACCACCCTCTCTTCCAATGCCTTTCGCTCTTCATCGGATAGACCAGTGGTTGCACTGTCACCCGTTCCTTCTGGAACGGCATCATCACTAGTTGTGCCATTGGTCTGAACCGCCACCTCGTTCTGCAACTTCTGAGTCGCCTCGTCACGCTCAGCAATAGCATTTTGCAGCTCTGCGCGAAGCTGTTCGAGCTGTTGTTCCGCCCCGAGTTTTTGGGCGTTTACTGCTTCCAGTTCCTTGCGAGCATCGGCCAGTTGCTGCTCTAATTGGCTGACAACGTCAACGGATGTCGCATCAGCAGCTGGGGGCTGTTGCCCAGGCTGATGCTGTTGGACTTGTTGGCGAAGCTCCTCCACTTGTTGTTTGAAAGATTGAACTTGTTGCTCAAGCTCCAACTTCTCTTTTCCAACGTTTTCGGCGAGTTGCTGGGCACCTTGGAGATCACCACTTGCCTTGTCAAGTTGCTCCTGCAGATGGTTGGCACGCTGGGCAGCCTCATTCTTCTCGCCGGTGAGCTTTCTAGACCGCTCTTTGAATTGCTCGGTAAGCTTGGCGCGAGTTGTTTGCCAAGCTTGACGTTCGCTCTCCAGTGTTGACTCAAGTTCGGTGATCTTCTCTCGAAGCGGCTGCTCGCCCTGTTTGAGACAATCACGCTCAGCCTCAAGGTCAGAGATGGTTTTCTTGAGTTGCTCCATCTCAGCTGGGTCAACACGCCCGTATTTGGTGAGGATGCCTTCAGTCCGCTTCTGCCAGCGGTCACGGTCCTCCTGAATCTGCTTGATCTCTTCCTCAAGATACGACTTTTGCATTTTTAGGTTGTCAATCTCAACTTCCAGCGGTTGAACTTTACCCTCCATCTCCTCAATCTTCTTATTCTTCTCAACTATCTGATCCTTCAGTTGAGTGTTCTCGTTGCGGAGAGCGGCACTGCTTTCGCGGTACAAATTGAGCTCGTGGAGTTTTTCCATCAAGTCTTGGTGTGCCATTGATGAACGGCCACTCTGCGCAGATTGTGTTCGCTCTTGGTCAAGTTTCAAGCGAGCCTCGTCCAACTGGGACTGCGTGTACTCGACTTGTTGTTGCAGGCGTTTAGATTCCTGTGACTTTAGGTCATACTGAACTTCAAGTATGTCCTTCTCACGACGTAGGTAGTTGTTCAGTTCTCGTAGCCCTTCCAAAGCATCACCAACATGTACGGGCGACATGCCCTCATCGCCCTCTTCATTGCCATTTGATCTCCTCTGTTGCAACGCAGCAACTTGGGCGGTTAAGCCCTCAAGCTGCTGGTGCAGCAATTTGTTTTGAGCATTAACATCCTCACGTCGGGCCGTCAACTCAGCCATTTCCTGTTCTAGCTGCTGCCGGCGATCCTCCCAGGAGCTCTCGCTTTGCGCAAGGGTAACCTTGGCTGATTCAGCTTCTGCTCGTAGGGATGCTGATTCACTCTTGAGCGCATTGTAATCGGTGCGCAGTTGCTGGACGAGCTTCGCAGCTTCAGCGTGCTTGACTAGCTCCTTCTCGTAGTCTTGCTGCGCCTTGGAGGCAATCTCAGCCTGGGCCCGTAAATCTTGTTGATGATATCGAGTGGCCTCGGCATGCCTGGCACTCTCTTCCTTCAAACGCTTTAGCTCATCCTCCAGAATGGTCTTTTCGTCCTCATACTTTCGAGCAACGTCGCCTTGCGAATCACGCAACTGTGATAGCTCCGTATTTGAACGAGATAGCTCCTCGGACATGTCCTCGATCCGTTGACTGAGCTCTTTGATTTTATTATCCTTCTCTTCAACCATGGCCTCCATCTCTTGTCTGTACTGCTCTTGAGAACCGCGCAAGTCTGCGAGCAATTCCTCATTACTCTGGCTAAGCTCCCTGTATTGCTCAGCCTGCGCCTTTGCATTCTCGAGCTGGGTATTGGCCATGTCAAGATCCCGTTTGAGGTCAGAGATATCGTTGTTGAGGTCGTGAAGCTCTGCTTCAAGCTCCTGCTGTCGTTGGCTTCCGTCATCTAGGCCAGGTCGTGGCGTAGGTCGAGGTTGCAGGCGGCCGACACGTTCTTCGGCATTTCGCAGTTCAACCGTCAGCTCATCAACTCGAGCCTGCAAATGGTCTCGAGTTGTCTTGACGCCAACATGTTCCTCGCGGATCTGGCCAAGGCTTGCCATGAGCTCATCAATTCTCTTCTGCGCCTCTTTCGATTCGAATTCCTTTCGGAGCTGCAGCTTCTTGCTTTCCTCTGTCTCATTAGAGAGCTTTCTCTGGACATCAGACAACTCGCGCTCGAGGGTGTCAATCTTGGCTTGCGCCTTTCGTCTGGCTTCAGACTCAGACATGTTGCGCTCATTTTCCAAGGACTGTTGAGTGGCGAGAAGATGGTTTAGTCGATTCTTTTCTTCGATCAAGTTCTCGTTGTCCTTGCTCATACGATCCTGTATGTCTTTCCAAAGATTTTTCTCAGCCTTCAAGTTGGCAGTTTCGTTTCTCATACTATCCAACAGGCCCTTGGTTTCGATGAGTTCCTCGGCAACCTGCTGCGTGCGAATGTCCTGCTTTGCAGCAGTCTCCGACAAGACCTGGACCCTCTTCTGAAGTTCAGAATTTTCGGACTGCAAGGCCACGTAGTTGCTCTGCAGCATCTCTCGTCGTTCAGATTCTAGTTTCACCTCACCCTGCAATTTGACGCGTTCCGTCTGAAGTGAATTCTTCTCCGTAGACAAATGATCAATTTGAGTTCGGAGATCTTTACGAACACCATCCTGGGCATCTCTGAAGCTATCGTACTCCGCTTGTAGTTTTCGGAGAGCCTCGCTGAGGGATTCGGCCTGTTCACTACCCTCTATGCTAGCGAGCGGTGCGCGCTGGCCACCATCTAGAGAGCTACGCATCATGGAGGCCTCGTCGACACCCCCACCGCGCTGTTGAAGAATTCGTCGGAACATGTCTCGCTCCGTCTTGTAGCTCTCCATCGTATTCTTGATCGATCGGCTCTCCTCAGTCATGTTCTCAAGCTCGCGCTGCAGCTTCTCGACACGATCATGATCCTCCTTGGCTTGATGTTTTGCGGCGAGAGCTTCTTCACTCTCAAGCTGCTCGGCAAGTTCACGAGTAATACGCATCAAGTCTTGGTTCTTCTGCTGCAGAGACTTGATATCTTTGAAAACCACCAGCTTCTGGGTAATGAATTGATGTGTGTCGGAGAGATCAGAAAGAGCCTCTTCTGTAATCTCTCCCCTCTCCAGCTGCTGCAAGCGATACTTGTCTTCCTCGCTCAGTTGATCCACGCCCTTTTCAATGGCATATACATTAAAAACAAGCATCTGAATCTGGGTTCCCAGATCCCGAAGTTGTGTTCGCAGAATCTTTGTCTCGGACTGGGCCGTCGCCAGTGCGCTTTCCGCCTTGCGAGCCGCCTTTCTCGCAACATCTCGCTCTTCAAAACTTTGCTGGGATAGTTCGGACATGCGTGCGATTTCGCTGCGTAGCGCATCGGACTCAGCTTGCAGCTCTTGAATCTCGGGTGCCTTGGCTTCAAGAGCTGTCATCATTTCGTCGAGCTCCTCCGAGAGTTGATGATTTCTTCGCTTCTCGCTGGCCAGCTGTCCTTTGACCTGATACAGTTGGTCAATAGCTTGGGTAGCGGTCATTGCCGACTTGCGAATGGAAGCAGGTGTAGCGAATGGCGAAGCTGCACGACCCGCAAACGAGCCATTCGGGCGCGGTGTTTGCGGCGCCGAACCGGGGGGAGGGCCCTGTTCCATACGAGCCTGGGCTTCGTCAAGTTCGCCTTCGAGCTGACTGATTCTCTCCTCCATCTCCGTCACGTTTTGCCGTTCTTGTTCCAGCTCCATACGAACCCTTCGGATTTCATTTTCGTAGTTTTCTCTTAGACGCTCTTTCTCGGCCTCAAGGTCCCGCACACGTTCCGCGTGTTTTTTGCTCAGCTGGTCAGACATGTCAACAAGCCGCCTCTGGTCCTCAAGTTCTTGCTTGTAGCTTTCGATAGTTGTGGCAAAGGCGCCTTCTTGCTTCTGAAGCTTAACAAGGGCCTCATCCGCCTTGGCCTGCATGGCATCGAGACGTTCGCGAAGCTGCTGCTCAGATCGTTTGAGGGCGTCGACTTGCGACTTGACATCCTCGTTTTCGCGCTGCAGCTCTGCAATGCGAGCGCCCTTTTCCTTTCTGTATTTCAGAGACTCTTCGCTCTTGGTCTTCAGCTCAGTCTCAAGCCATTCGCTGTTGCGGCGAGCTAGCTCAAGTTGTTGCTTTAATGACTCCTCGCGGTATTTGGCGCTGTTGAGTAGACCCTTGGCGTTTTGTTCTGACTGTTGGAGAGCCGTTACCTCTCGAGCAAGTTCGACATTACGCTGGTGCTGCTTTGTAAGCTCCTCGGTGATGGTTTCATCGCGTTTGTTGTGTGATTCGATAATGCTTAGGTTAGTCCGGTTTGACGACTGCAGAGTCTCAATCTTATCGGTAAGGCTCTTCACTTCAGCAGCGTGGTCAGAATTCTTGGCCTTGAGCGCCTGTAATTCGTTCTCCAAGGATTGTCGCTTCGTCTCTACAAAGTACCGACCACCGCAGTTAGTGATGTGTTTCAAGCCAAGCTCGGGGTCCTCAGATTTGATGCCAGAGCTCGAAGGTTAGGAGGAGAAATGCACGGAGCTGAAGCTTACCTTCCTCCTTGAGTTTCTGCCTAGCCTCTTCAACATCCTTCAGCGCCTTTTCTGTAGTGGACTTTGAGGCTTGTAATCTGTTTTCGGAGCTCCGAACGACATTTTCCAACTCAATATCGGTTTGAAGCTTGTTAGCGTATAATGTGTCAAATTCGTGAGCCTTGGCAGCAACCGCTTGAAGCAGCGTGGCCACCAATTCCGCCGTCGGTTCGGTCGTCAATGTTGTCAACACGGGTTGGTCAAGGCCTAAGTGACCAGCGACATAGCCCACATCGACGCCTGCAGCCGCCATTGTCGAGCCTGGCTTAGATCAACAACAGAGGCTGTCTCGTCATCACTCGGTGCCCAGTGCCAAAACCATCCAAAGTCGGGGTACAAGAGTCGCAATGTAATAAAATCAACGTGAGAAGAAAATACTTGAAGAGACCCACAAGACCCCGCCGGCTGAAGTCTGTGAAAGGAAGGGTTTGAGCGGCGAGACGCGAATGTCTTTCAAGGCGTCGTGGAGTTGTGAGGTTTCAAGATGCGGGTGCAGGCTACCAGAAAGAAATGAGCACCAGCTACTCCGTAGTTCTTGGAGCTTCAGCCTGACTGGCTGTTTGGCGCGCGCCTGCCCTCGCGAATGCTTGAAATCATTCAAGAAAATAGTACAAACAGGGGGGCCATTGCATGAATTTCATTGGGTGAAGTCTCAGCTAGTGGATTTTATATCCGAAGTTATGCCGATGCCTACCCTAAATCACTTGTTCGAATCGAGGTTGAGTACCACCGGAAAGCAAACCAGGTGTCAATGTTGATTTTACAAACTTGATTCATTCTTCCACAGAATGATACCGAATACTAATGCTGTTAGTCATCGGCTGGCTCCCCGCCACTCAAGCTTCGGCCCCTCGTTTTGTCAATTGCGCAACCTGGTGTCAAGACTCACCTTTAAGTTTTGCTCGGTGAGCAAGTTCTTGTCCCTCATGAATTTTCCTAGTACTTTCACGTACTTCATAGGCGCAAAGGAGCCTCAAGGGATTAGCTGGATCGATTTAATGCCTTTTCTTTCTTTCTTTCTTTGCCAGTTGGCACAGTACTGCAGAACCACATTACACCGCTACAAGTCAAGGAAACCAAAGCGCCCGCGTGAGAGAAGTCGGGTGAGCACAACCAAAGTAGAAGTGAGGCGACAGGTTAGTGAGACTAAAACTGAAAGTGACACTCATCGGTTCTGCCCTCCCCTCAATACGTCGAGACTGAAGTGTAGCTGGATGTGGTCACATGCTTGATGCGCACACACGTCATCAACCGCATCACCGCCATTTGATCACATGTACTTCAAGTACTGAAAAATTGGGCTCACAACGGCATATACGGCACTTGGATGCGCGCAAAAAGATGTGGGCGGATCGTTGTGCGAAAAAAAAAAAAAAAAAAAAAAAAAGACGCCCAAAAGGGCAGCCATCACGCTGTGTTCATGTTGAAAATCATCGGGAATATCCCATCTACCTAAAATGTCGGCATAGCAGACCATGCATCCTCATTGCCCACCATAAAGCATCGCTATGATATGACCAATTCACTCCATGACATGATGCACAATATCAACGACAAAACAACGCCACGCCTCGCTTACAGTCATATCCTCAAACAAAGCCGCTAACTTAGCAAAGCCATATATGCCCTCATGTCAACGCCGTTGCGTGGAATCGCTCATCCAAATCCGTAAATCCACTAACAGGAGGGGTATTTCTGCGCCGTTGCATCCCAAGCGTAATTGATACATGAAGGAAAAGCCCGACGCGACCCTATCGCCGAGCTGTGATTCGGGAAAAGATGCGAGGGACGCTGCCCTTCCTGGGGGGCGACGAGCTCAGCGAGGCGTGTCCAGACACCGACTCGCCAGACGTTGTTGTCGCACATGAATCCTCCGACGCCCGCCGTGACGATGACCTCCGCGAGCTGGTGAGTGAGGTTGAGGCCTCGGTGGCAGCCGAGTTCCACGCGTTGGCCCTGGCGACTTCGTCCAGAGCAGCTCGCTTCTGGTCCGCGACGGATCGCAGGAGCTTCCAGAGCCCGCGGCCCAGCTCGTCCCACACGACGGGAGCTTTGAACAGTCGCCGGCATGCAATGGTGCCCTCCTTCTCGTCCAGGAAGCCGTAGGACTCGAGCCCGTCCATGGTCGGAACGGCATCGTATACCACTGTGATCTGGCCCATTTGATCGCACCACTCGGAAGCTTGCAGGAACTCGATAATGTAGTTCCACGCCTCGGAGCGTGACTCCTCCTCGGCCTCCAGAAGGGCCCGTTGGCGCTGCTCCTGCTCGAGCAGGCGACGCTGCTTGCGCCTCTTGAGCGGCAGCTCGAAGAAGGTGGTGCTGTGGGATCGGATAGGGATGGGCGTAGCGGAAGCGGCCATTTTTGCTGTTTGCACTGCCGTCATATCTGTCCAGGGCCGTCCTTTTTTCTCGGCCTCCTGGGCCTGTCTGGTATATCGCAAGAAAGCAGCTTTGATGTTTGTCCCCCCAATAGGGACCAGCTGCGGTGGGCTGGGGTTGTCTTTATACGCCGTGGTTGACGGCGGACGCAACTAGATCCAGACGGCGGCGGATGCTTAGTTTGGGGATGGTCCAGCCCGTCGGATATTTGGTCGAAACCCTGCCCTCACTCGTGTGGTGAGTTGACTATGGGCATATGATGTTGATTTAGTCAGTCGGAAACTCTGGCGCACAGGCAAGCAAACGACACGGCAGTTCTTTGTGTCTGGCGTCAGGTTCGAAACAGCGGATTTCTCGGAGTGGTCGGCACGGGGTCGATGGACAGATATATTTATGGCTTTTCAGCCAGTACTTGGCCAAAGCTCGGCTTGCCTTTCGTAGGACTAGTTGTCTTGTTTCTACTTCGGTATTCAGAGTGGTGGTTCGCCTTGTTCGCGGAATGGTGGCGGTCAGATGATGAAGTCGGTCTTTTTTTAGCAAAGACAAGTTTGATTCCTCGCAGCGGGACAATGAATAAAGCGGATTGTTGTTTCCACACACAGTTGACAAGTCGACAATGGCAACACAGCAAGTGTTTTCTACTGAAACAGCGAACCGGGGCTGTTGAGAGACGACAGACGGGAGGAATGGGCCGGTTTATTTGGGAGCCTGGCCAGCCAAGCCATCGGCATCTCATTGCCCTGCTTGTGAAAGTGCCGTCTGCCCATGTACATACATGAGTTGCATCAAATGTTGTTGGTTGATCCGCGTAGCCGCACCCGCCCCCAGGCCAGATGGCCCCTTTCATCCTGATTCCTGACCGATGCCAAGGTCATTCACCACATTTGCCCATCCACACATCGCATCTCACACATCTCCCGCATCCCGCCAATGTAACTATGCCCTCCTCCCACCCCCGGTCTCGGGGGGGGGGGGGGGGGGGGGGGGGTGTGCTGGTTGCATGTGCCAGCGTTTCTTCCCGGCTACCGACCTTGGCGCTGCGCGGGACGGCGGAAGACACCAAGCGCCTGTGGACATTTCAGTTATCTGGTGAGACGCTCTCCTCTGGGCCGAGTGGCCGACGACGGCGGGAACACATGTCCTCTCCTCTACGACGCCGTCGAGTTGAATGCCGCAAGCTCAGCGTCAATGGCGGCGACACGGCAGCACCCTGCCATCAGCTCGCACCGCGCGCATCCGACGGTCAGTGAATCCAGCTAGTAACTGATACGGCACATGGGACTTGAGGCGGAGCCGCGGGCAGCAACAGGAACAGCAAAGCAACCAAAGGAACGAAGGGTGTGAGAGAGGGAGCTGTGATGAGGGGGGAGGTCGACGCCTGCTAGCCCTGCCGAGCGCCGACCTTTGCCAGATAGCAGGTCCTGGTTGGTGCATCATATTTACTCGTTCGCCTTTTTACTCAGATGTGAGCACGTCAGTCACCAACGGGGTGTTGAGGCTTGCATGAGCAGGTTGGACGGGCTGGACCGGGTTTGCGCGGACCACTGGCTGACCGACGGCACCAGTTTCTCGCCATCTCCTCGACTTGTCTCGGTCAATGTGTTTGGCCTCGCGCAGCCAGTCACGTACGGTACCGCCCTGGAGGCGTTTGGCGGTGTTGAAACGTGATTCCGATCGCATCGGCCTGGTGATGTGTGATGACCATTGGTCACAAAAGACGGCGTTGGTGATGACCTTTACCACTGCCTTGGTGCTGAATGGCTGCCGTCTTCATTTCTCGTTGAAACACACAAAAGACAGTTGCCCATAAGGATGCATTCCGCGCTTCCGGTGTCGCGCGTGTCCTTTGAACCCGAACCGGCAGCCAACCAACTACTAGGTAGTTGCTGCTCGAGCTTTGCGGCGAAACATTGCATGACGATCAGCACTGATGCGTTTGGTCGGACAATGACGAGGGTTTCCATTTTTATCACCGAGGTGCTTTATTTTTCTTTTGCGAAAATGCCATCTTTTGTGTTGACACTATCCCAAGTCTCCAGCTGTGAACTATACAATTAACTACTCTGTGAAACATGATATTCACTCCCGTATCCGGTGGGCCAGCTACTCTGTAATCATCATTATTATCATTATTATTTATTTATTTATTTTAAACAGGTCCTTGGAAACCCCTCATATTTTGTTCCGATCGTGTTTCCGCACCCGCGACCACACTCATCATCTTATCGTCCAGCACCCGAGGGCCGACGGCGAAGAAACGAAAAAATTCAGCATGGCAACGTGTGTTCACACTGGTAGCTCACGGGCGTGTTCGCTTGTCACGGCCACCGACAGGTTGCATGGGACGCGGAAGCACTCGTGGCATGTGGCCAGCCACAATTCAGCTCTTGAGCAACAATGGCGCTGGCCCAATCGCCAAATCGCAAGGTAGCCTCCTCCTCGGCTCGGGGGAGGATCCTGACGACCCTTTCTCCGCATGGGGAGAGCCAAGGGAGCGACGGGTCAGACCAAGGAGGGTGTGTAAATAAAATATTTCGCCCCCGGATGACAGCGCCGATCACAGACACCACCAACATTGAACTCAATCCTCTCAACCAAGGGGCAGAGGTTCTCCCTGCAGCGCTTGCACCCATCAAGCAGCTTTGTAGCAAAATGGCCCTGCGCTTTAGCTAGTCCAGATGACGGCAGCAGAGTGACCTGCTCACTCCGGCAGCGACATGGTGTGCCGGCCAGAACGCGCCGTCTAGGGCTCCAACCAGCACAGCATACGCCATGAGCTGTGCTGTGCTATATACCAACTAGCACCGTTCATCTCGCTTTGGTGAGCTCATTTCGGCATCGCAGCAAGGTGTGGATTTCGGAGGCTCAACAGAGTGGGTTTTGTGGCGCGGCCTCGTCTGGTCCCCTCGTGCCCGATGGGTGTAGCCAACAAGAGCAAGAGCAAAAGTGTTGGGTAAAATCAAGCTGGATAATCGCTGAGATGGCTGCCGAGAAACGTCACCAGGCAATCCGGGGGGGCGCATGGCTTTGTCCGGATGCGATACATACATGCGTTGTCGGTATGCGAATTAACCGGCTTCCAACATTTCGAGGGCGACGGACAGATATGATTTCGCAGAACCAACATACATGATGTATGTACTTGGTCTCCAGGCAGCGACATTTCAACCAAGTTGAACCACCGCACCAGGAGTGTGTGTCTAGACCAAAAGGAGACATGGCAAGCGACGGGGACTATTGTTCTAGTTTACGGAGCACAGTGGAGGGGGATACTGGATACCTTGGCAACTTGGGTAGTTACGCATTCGAGTCAATAGTGTCTGGTCTGGTATTCAGTATGTACGGAGTAGTATGTGCTTGTCCGTGACGGACACCCATGTAACTAACTATCTGCGGAGCAAGAGGATACAGTCCCAAAACGCCTCGGACAGACCACAACACGGCTGCGGAAACAACTTGATGCAAAAAACATTCCGGACAACAGAGTATGCACGTCCTCTCTCGCCTCTGGAGGGAAACGGAATCACCGGACCTTTCCCCCGGAACCTTGAAAGGCAGCCGAGACATTGTACTCCGTCCTCCGTTGTACGGACCAATCTGGCCGGCGTGCTGCCAGACCACGATACGTCGACTGGTAGCATATTACTTCACGGTATAGGTCGTGAATCCACACCGACAGCCGGATGGGTGGATAGCAACAGTCGAGCTATTAGTTTCCGCTCTTGGTGCTCGCTTATTTCCAAAGGCTATTGACGTGTTTTCCTCAGTGCGTCGCTCGCTCGTGACGGCTGGGTTTCAGAACGCAACATTGTGGTTAACCCGTTGACGTTGACAGCAAAAGGACAACATCAACATCAGCAACAAACACGGGGCTGAGACACTTTGTGCCCAGCCAGACGTAAACAAGCAGTTCAACCCGCTATTCTGGGCTTGGGAGCCTTACTTTTTCCAAAATCGCGGCACAAAGAGGAATGAAAGCACAGCTGCCACTCTGGCATGCCAGCTCACTTTTAAAGTTTTGATTCCTGCAGCAACATGTAGGGATTATAAAAGAAAGAAAAACCACATCAAGCAAAGTTCGCCAGCGTGATCCCCTCACCCTGCCTCATCTCATCGGCCCCAGACAAGCTCAGACGTGCCAGCCCTACATCCGCTCCAGCTCCAAACCATCCCCGCCTCGCTTTATCCAGCAGGGCCAGACCGCCGTCTGACCCCATCAATGTAACCATGCTTTTTTGGGGGGCCAGATCCAGTAGATCTTGGGGCTAGTGGCCTCACTTGCCGTGGCGCAAGCGGCTCGTGCCAGCTCTTCAAGGTAGATGAGAGGCATCGAGGCGTGAATGGCGTGGCCTTGGGTCGGAACAGCAATTCGTCGCAAAGCACAAAAGTGGGCGAGAAATACAAACTCAAGACTGAGAGGCTGGCCGAGGCAATTGCCGGCCATGGCCACCGAGGGACATGCCGGGAATCCCCTGCTTCATCGGGCTGCCGCCATGTCCACTGGGGGCCATAATCTCGCCGAGCGGCATAGCGAACGTGGTCATCATGTTGGCGGTTTGTGCTTGTTGGCTTAGTGCTATGTGATGATGAGTCGGCCTGACGGTCTCGGAGGAGTCGGAAACGCCTCTACCTGGGGCTTTGCTGACCTGCAAGATTGCCTGTTGACGTTACAACGCCATCGCCATCACATCACACGAGGGAACCAAGCGCGGCAATCTCGCTTCTGGGCGATGAGAAGAAATGTGCTCTTTGTGGCCGACTGTGAGAGTCAAAGTAGCGTGCGGCGGCTCTCACCGCTCGAGCTGCCAAAGTGCAATTGTTTGTTCATTGCTTTTTGTTTTCTTTGCCGTTTTACCATGTGCTATTTTGCCCACAAGTTTTGTCAAGTTTCCATCTACGTATAAGCTAATGTCTTGCAGCGATACTACGGCTAACGTCTACATCGTACTGCAGACTACCATAGCATGATCGGATATAACCTGGCCAAATGAGCATAGTGATATCAAGTCCCTCGTATGTATATGCATTTCTTAGAGAAGAGGTGTTTTATATAGATAGCATTCCCATCGTTTAGTCCTTACTGCTGTCTAGTCTTTATGCGGTCGCATTTTTTCCTTCATTCAGCCTGTTCTATCGACCGACTACCTTGTAAATGTGGAAAGTTGAAGCAGTCTGTACGGCAAGATACAACCGAACAGTAAACTTATTCTTAATTCAATCCATGTAGCTACGAAATGAAGGGATTGTTTTCAGTTCATGGGCTAGTTGACTAGAGAGGACGGGGTTCCGACTGCTAGCTACATGTAGCGTGGGCAAGCTTGTTGAATTAGAGCCTTTTGTTTACGTGAAACCTAGAAGGCTCGATGGCCAAATGGATGACTCGTTGACAAAGGTCTAACAAGACGGCCTTGTCCGCATCAGGGTTCCTTGATTGTTACATGAAACAATCCTCGGCTTCTTCTTGCGCCAGTTTTTGTAAATGCTGCAAAATGACAGCCGTAACTAGATTAGGCTAAAAGCCTCGTCATGATCTACGGGAGCTGGTCACATGTGCAACCTCCAGCGTTCACATTGCAGTTCCTAAAGGACGATTCGGAAAAGGGCGACCAGATTGAGGCTTTGATATGCAGAAACACAATACACAGCGGGAGGCAAAATGTATGTGACCAGATCAGGTACCTGGCTGTCATGCTCTATACTATAGAATATTATACCACAGTATATTAGTGAATACTTCTTGATGGGCAAAAATCTTCTGGCCAGATTCACGGGTGAAACGGTACATTTTATTTGGCGTCTTGTACTGCGCCAAATCCCTGAATTAATGGGTAATTGGTGTGCGCACATATATCACGTCCGCTCTGAGGTTGGATTTGCCCGTTAAAGAGCACGTCAAGGGTGAGGGGAGAATGCTGTGATGAAGGGAACCAGTTTTAATGTACACTGAGAAGTCTATACATCCTAATGATGAGGGAATTGTACTGTGCGTGCTGCACTGGCATACTCTTTGTTCTTGACTGGTGGAAAATCGCTGAAACATCATCATTTATTTCACTACTCGTTCCACACCAGTACGTAACGGTTGATTGAACTCCTCACGAACATGAAAACAGTTCATAAAATCTCGCAATAAATGAATGAAAAGCCTTTGTATGCGTAGGTTTTGTATGTGTCTTTTATGCTTGGCTTTTGTTGATTGTCCTATACAGCATAGCGACAAGGATGGTGACAATGAGCCTGTGCATCTACTCTTGTTCGCTTTGAAGTCCATTCTTCTCCCATCATGAACACCAATGAAACCCTTCTGCGCAGCCCTCGCCGCTGTGAAAGCACGCAAGTTGTTGAACACGTGGTAGTACGCATGTGAAAATGGGCTCCTGCGTCCAGACTTGTAGAAACAGGGCCACGATCCTATACCAACTCGTCAACAGCATATATATGCTAAGAGGCGGCGCATTAACCTTCAACAGACAATATCCATGTCCCTTAGAGTAGCCTCGCTTAAACAAGGTTCTCTTTGCAATGATGGATGTTGTTATCAAAATCCTAGTTGGCATCGTATTTGTATACACCTGGGACTATATGGCACCATATCTAACCCGGAGCGATTCCACGGCCAGAAGATTCCTGGAGAGAGCAGTCGTCAGGTTGTTCTCGTGGACAGAGATGTATTTGACAAAAGTCGTAAGCCAGAATACCAACGACATCCTCATACTTTCCGCAGACCGAGTGACTGACTTGTCGGCAGATGACGACGTTCCGACAGCAATTTTACCAGGATCTCCATGACTTGAGCCACGCAGTCGGAATTCCTGTACCAAAGTCTGAGTCGCGCCCGGACGTATCCTCGGCAGGCTCCAAGTCGCAACCGCTCAATGTCCCCATCCGACAGACATCCTCTTACCAACCCAGCCACCGTGGAGTCGATGAATCTATAGCTCTGTCCAGGCTGGAAGAATGTACAAATGGCTCCCAATACCGCCGTCCTGTAGCCGCATGTTACGAGTCCCAAGCAGCAACACCCGTGGCTTACACCCAGAACAACAATAGCCGGTTCTTGCCAAAGTGCGAACGCTCCAAGACGTGCCCGCGAGAACGACAAAGACTCGAGAAACCTCAGCAAATGGAGGCCCCTGAATATAATGGAGATGACCAGTTCCGGCTTCAGAAACACCACCAAAGCACAACTGAGCTCCAGAACCTAGCAAATTCCAGCAAGCAGCTCGAAACAGCTGCTAATGAAACGAACATCCTATTTCGTCAAGCCTGGGAAAACCTCGACCAGCTACTTCCACCTCGGCAGAGAGGAGGCCAGTCAAGACAAAAGTTCCTTCAGAAGATGCTCAGGTCTGAAACAGATTTTAGGCAGGAAGGAATGAGGTTGGAAAGCGTCTTGCACAGAATGAAAGGGAAACAGTTTCATAACAAGGAATCCCTGGCCCTTGAGCAGGAGAAGTTTGCAAATGATTTGAACTACTATGAAAATACTTTGAACAGGTTTCGTAAGTGGCTGAGGGACATCTATTCGGAGAACAAATCACACCATGAGAATTTGCGGAAGAAACCACGCCAGGAAGATTTGCAGAAGAAGCGGCTCCAGGAGGTTGTAGAGAAGAAACTCGAGCAGGGTTTGCAGAATAAACCACGCCAGGAGAACTTGCGGAAGAAACCACTCCAGGAGAATTTACACAATAAACCACGCCAGAAGCCTCTACATGATAAACCATGCCGGGAGGGTTCGCAGAAGAAACCACTCCAGGAGCTTGTAGAGAAGAAAATCCAGGAGTTTTCGCAGAATCAACGTCGCCGGGTGGATTTGCGAAAGAAGTTACTCCATGAGAATTTGCGGAAGGAGCTACCACGCCTGGAGTATTTCCAGAGTAAACCACACCAGGAGCTTTGGTAGAATAAACTACGCTAGGAGGATCAGAAAAGCGTTGGGCAACATGGACAGGAGCATCGGGAAACGCGGGAAGCCGGCAAGTGTGGCCAGGAAACTGGTCAACTGAACTCGGCTCTCAAACGGACAAACACGAGGACATATCGCAACGATCACTGTGGGCAGAGTTGAAAATGGAGATGCAAGGATGGCGGACATGGACAGAAATACAAAAGCCACGGCGAAAGCGGGGGAAAAGCGTCCTCAAATCTACTGGGAATTCCCAATGAAAGACGTATAAACCCAAGGATTCATAGAGTTCATCATATGACTAGGCAGTTACGAGCGTTCACTTAATCGCCGTATCGAGGGGTGTGTCTATTCTAATGCTCGGCAGTCTTTCTTGCTGCAGTCTTTGGTCGGACCTTCACATACTTGGTTACATCAAAAGACCCCGTATCATATTTCCCCTGGCCGTAGAACGATAACTATTCCGATTTACGACAATTTAAAGAATGACAAAGACAAAAAGATACCATGGTAGCTATGGCTGTTTGAACCACAGCAGGAGATGGCTAAATATTACAACTACAAAGAAAAAAAGAAAAGAGCAATTTAGACCCAGCAGATTATTTTGAGCCTTGCTGTGTCGTAGTATAACTATAATGAAGATTGTTTAGGGCTACCTGAAGGAACAGTTTCTTACGGGGTTCGTTAGGCTGACCCGTCACTGCGATTGATAGAAGAAGATTAATCCTTGGTCCAAGGACCTGCCTTGGAAGAAACAAAGCTCCAGAACTTACTCCCAATCTGGAATAACACATGTGCATACAAGCTGGCACATTCCCGACTCTCTCATGTCCTAGAAAACTAACAGCCCAATTCATGGCTCATCCTTAGGTAAACGACCCCTCGACTTCCCTCGCACTTGTAATGTATGCTCACATGGCCATGATAATCGTCTGTCACCCTTTGACTTTGAAATTCGCCAGTTTACATCTCCCTTGCTGCCAATTGCTGTGGCACACTTGACATTGCCGGCAACTCTTAAGTCTGTACCCTCAGAATATTCTTTGAGACTCGTTTCCAAGAGTGTTTTGATGTCCCTGTCGCCAATAGTGAAAGGTCCCAGGCAAGGATCGGCCGGCTTTACTCCAAGCGTACAGTCTCTCGTCTGGAGAATTGGCGTGAATCCGGTAGCATTCAAGTCGCCGAGTCTGAAGGTGCCGTTTTCTGAGGTCCAGGAACTGTAGAGGCTTGCGCATTCTCTCCAATCTGCGGGATCAGTGTTTGCGGGCTCATCAAATGTTGATGGGTCGCATGTAGATTGCGTGTGGTTAGCAGGGTGCCAGGAGATGCCCGTCGAGTTGGCCATAATAGGGACCGCCGAGGTAGCCCAACCCAAGGTGACGAAGCAAACGGCCACGACAAGCAAATATTGGCTAGATATCATCTTGCGAAATTGCCGAATTCAGTGAAAACCGGATGAGGAACGTTTTCGAATAAAATAGCCCGCTACGTCCGAGTGTGTGACGTTCGGTAGAAGAGCTCACTCCGTCGCACAGAGACTGTAGAAGTTGGTCAATGTTGGTCCAGAACTTCTTGCGGCGCAGACAGGGTCAACAGACCGGAAACCAATCCTGAGTCGTACAATATATGAGGCGTACACACAAGAGAAGTCGAAACTTCCAGGTGCAGTGAGCAACCATTTGTCTGTCGTTTACACACAGGCAGGACCTAGGGAGCAAGCGCAATGGAATTCAGGATGGCGCTTTTGGGAGGGCGGAAACGCTGGATGATTTCCACACTCACGGCGCAACATTCAAGGCGAAGTGGTCTTGTCGATGCGTGTGGCCAGGCGTAATATTTGAATTGCCAAGGGCCAGGAGAGCATAGGAGAGCACAGGCCAACATGAGACAATCAGTTCATGCCGACTCGCGCCAGCGCGCCTTCCTTCCTGCGGTAGGGAATTCGAAGGAAAGAGATCTCAATCAGGAAGGAGCGCTCGAAGAGGATCGCCGTCAAAGTAAGCGTGAGCACGTGGCAAGCATCACGCCTCTTTTGTATTTTTTTGTTAGCAGTTCGCACCGACAATCTCGTCACATCATCACAAGGGTCTTATTCTTTGTTCAGAGTGGGTGATCTACAAACACCCGCCAGGACAATGACAGGACCTGAGGGGGGGGGTTTTGCAAATCTGCTACGGAGTACATTTCATGCACTTTCAAGGCCGAAGACCTATCTTGTACGGAAGCATGTGGCTTTACCGACAAGGCAGCGTGGTGGCTGTATTCTTTGCTAGCCTCCATGGGCACAGCCATTTTGCATCTAATAATCCTGTCAGTGAAGGCGATGGTACATGAACCAATGGAGTCAAACCGGACAGACGAAGAGATAGAGAGTGACAACTCGGTTTGGACGTACTGGACCCAACGATACGGCCACTGTTTGGTCTCAGCCTGGACTCTGTCAAGGAGGTCGGAAGCTGACAAGGTTGATTGTGGAGATTGCTATATGTCACACTTTAGAGGGCACCAATT